GCCTCGGCCTTCCAGAGTGCTAGGATTACAGGCGTGGGCCACCGCGCCCGGCCTTGCACGGTGTTTTTTAAAGAAACTATCAAACCATTTTTCCAGAGTGGCTGTACCATTTTATTGTTACACCAGCAATGTAAGATTGATCCAGTTTCTCTATATCCTCACCAGGACTTTGTGTTATCACTTTTATAATAATGTTTATCATCAGTTTCTTTTTGTGCTGTGTAGCTTCCCAGATATAATCTGTCCTTGGATTGCTTCTTAACTCAATCAAGAAATCTCTTTGATATGCCCATGGGAAAAACCTCCAGGCCCAACAGATTGCATATTACTGCTGTTACTCAGAGTTCAGTGACACAGAACTCTATCCCTAGCCTTCTGCATGTAGTACCTTCATGAAGATATAGAGAGATATACTACTCAAATATGCAAAACGCACCAAGCTGGGAGAGAGAGCAATGAATGGCTTAATAACATGACTGATGGGAGAGAACTAAGGGGGCAACCCAACAAGGTAAAACTTAGCCGAAACAAGCCAACCTATCCATTCAGTAAACACAGAGCCAACATTCTCTTCAGATTCTGTGCAATGTGCTGAGGATACAGACATATAAGTTTGGGTTATTATCTATTTGACTGTACTGTCTAAAAAAGAAACTTTGAAATAAGTATGAAAACAAGTATGTCTAAATCTGTGTTATGAATATGTCTGTTGATTTAAAATAGTGTCTGACTTTTTTTCAAATAACATTGAAAATCTGTTGAAGATTTTGAAGTTGGAGAATGATTCTTCTATTTTAGGAAACCATCTTTTGTGCTGTGTGGCTGATGGACTGGAAGGAGACCTTTGGTAGTACAGAGGACATTTGAGAGATTAACACAGTAGTTTAGTGAGCAATGACAAGGTTTTAAAAAAAGTAGTAGCAGTGAGGATAATGAAAAATGGATGCGATAGATGTGAAAAGGGTTTATAAAGAACAGGGTTTGTCGATAGAACAGACTGGATGAGGAAAAGGAGACCAGACCAGAAGAGGAGGAATAGACCAGACCAGAAGAGGAGGAGAACAGACCAGAAGAGAAGAGGAAGCCAGACCGGAAGAGGAGGAGACCAGACCAGAAGAGCAAGAATAGACCAGACCAGAAGAGGAAGAGACCAGACTGGAAGAGGAGGAGGAAAACAGACCAGAAGAGGAGGAGGAAAACACACCAGAAGAGGAGGAGGAGACCAGACAGGAAGAGGAGGAATAGACCAGACCGAAAGATGAGGAGGAGACCAGACCGGAAGAGGAGGAAGAGACCAGACAGGAAGAGGAGGAGGAGACCAGACCGGAAGATGAGGAATAGACCAGACAGGAAGAGGAATAGGAGACCAGACCGGAAGAAGAGGAAGAGACCAGACCGGAAGAGGAGGAATAGACCAGACCGAAAGAGGAGGAGGAGACCAGACCGGAAGAGGAGGAATAGACCAGACAGGAAGAGGGAGAGGAGACCAGACTGGAAGAGGAGGAATAGAGCAGACAGGAAGAGGAGGAGGAGACCAGACCGGAAGAAGAGGAGGAGACCAGACCGGAAGAGGAGGAGGAGACCAAACTGAAAGAGGAGGAGGAGACCAGACCAGAAGAGAAGGAGGACACCAGACCGGAAGAGGAGGAATAGACCAGACAGGAAGAGGAGGAACAGACCAGACCGGAAGAGGAGGAGGAGACCAGACCGGAAGAGGAGGAGGAGACCAGACCGGAAGAGGAGGAGGAGACCATACCAGAAGAGGAGGAATAGACCAGACAGGAAGAGGAGGAGGAGACCAGACCGGAAAAGGAGGAATAGACCAGACCGGAAGAGGAGGAATAGACCAGACGGAAAGATGAGGAGGAGACCAGACCGGAAGAGGAGGAGGAGACCAGACTGGAAGAGGAGGAGGAGACCACACTGGAGGAGGAGGAGACCAGACCAGAAGAGGAGAAGGAGACCAGACTGGAAGAGGAGGAGACCAGACCGGAAGAAGAGGAGGAGACCAGACTGGAAGAGGAGGAGACCAGACCGGAAGAGGAGGAATAGACCAGACCGAAAGAGGAGGAGGAGACCAGACCGAAAGAGGAGGAGCAGACTAGACCGGAAGAGGAGAAGGAGACCAGACTGGAAGAGGAGGAGACCAGACAGGAAGAGGAGGAG